GGGGGGGTTATAAATACCCTCTCAGAGCTCAATAGAGTGGGCTCCAGTGGGCTCTGTTTGAAGTAGCAGACTGTAGACCTGCTAGGGGGGGGATTCTGACCTCAGTCCCTACAGAGAACCCCCCAATTCCTACAGCAAAGTCGGTCAATATCTCGCTTTCTCCTTCACTCGCAGCCCCTCCCTCTTCATCTCAGCTACTCTCTTTAGTTCTTGCACACACTCGCGCATGCACGCACGCACACACACACACACACACACACGTACACACACACACATACACTTTGTCTTACTCCTGCTTCTTTTCTGTTCTTCTCTCTCCAACCTATTCTTTCCCTGCATTTGCCCCTCCTCTATCTTTCATTTCCACACACGCACACTCAAACACAAAATGCTTACTTTTGTGCAACAGTCACTCAGTCCCCCATTGCGACTCAAACTGCATTAATATTGAATCAAACAGCAGTGTCTCCAGCTAGCAGGCAACAGCCAGTGCGCCCCCCACCCCCCCAATCTCTCTCTCTCTCTCACCGCAGGCTGGGTCCCTGTCTGCACTCTGCAGGATGGAAGGAATATTCCCACTGGGCAGGAGGCATGGATTAGCTTTAAATCAACTTTAATATGGCAATAGAGATGGAGCCATAGCATCTCCACTGGTGTATGAACTAGTTTTATGTGTTTAAGTACTGGGTAATTATAATTTACGCACTTTACTTCCCTCCACCTCTAGCTCTCAGTTCATGAAAATGATCACTTTTGTATATTTACCTTGCGTTGTGTTTTCTTTCTCCTCTTTGCCTCCCACTCTCATTCCCATCCCTCCCACCTCTACCATCCACACCAAGCCTGCAAGCGCAAAGAACAGGAGCAACACAAGGACCGCAACACGGCGCCCAAGAAACAGCGTCTAGTCTTCACTGACCTGCAGCGCCGCACACTCATCGCAATCTTCAAGGAGAACAAGCGTCCATCCAAGGAAATGCAGATCACCATCTCCCAGCAGCTCGGCTTGGAGCTCAGCACCGTCAGCAACTTCTTCATGAATGCTCGCCGCCGCTGTGTGGACCGCTGGCACGATGACCACGGTACCAGCCCCGGGCAGCCAGGCACCTCTGCCACCACCTTCTCCAAGGCCTGAGAGAAGCAGGAGAGGGCCTTCGGCGGGCCGAGGAACCAGGCCGGAACAACAGGCGACGCTGGAAATTCCCTGCGAAGCCTGTCTGTAACAGCCCTGCCTGGCCCGGAGCGCCTGAAGGTGTCCTCTACACGATATAAAAATCCTTTGTGCCATGCAATCATCTTCTACGTCAGTTAAAATTTCAAGCTCTCACCTGAAACAAGCATAATCTAAAAAGGTGAAGTGTGAAGTCAGGTCCACTCTGCATTTCTCACATACAAGGACAATCATTGATTTTGTCTTTTTTTTTTCCTTCTTTTTTGAGAGAAAATACTTTTTATGGCATCTGACAAAGCAAAGCGACACCAAAGATTTGACGTTTCTGTTGGGCGGTATCTACATGATGCTGGCCTCCTCCTTCACCACCCAAGTAGCCACTGATTCTGCTTTTTCCTCTTAACTCACCTCCTTTGTGTCTGCCTCCTCACTGTTTCCCACACACACACACACACACACACACACACACACACACACCGGCACACGGAAGCAACAAGGGCAAAAGAACGGCAATAAATCTGAAAACAGAACAGCACATAGCCTTATTATCAGAGCCCCATCCTGCACACACACAAGGCCGTCATGAAGAAAACAACGCAGCCCATGAAAAAAACAACAAGGCTTTCCAGTTCTCTGCCTCTACCTCCCCCCTCCTCCTCCTCCTCCTCCCGCAGTCTCCTTCATTCCTCAGCCAAAGGTATTCCCTGATGGCCAGCCATTTCAGAGAGCAGCTCGGCCTGATCATACGGCAAACTAATGAATTGAAAAATGAATCGATGCAGACAGAGAGGGAGCGAGGCCTTGACCCCCTCATGAAGGTGAAACTCAAGACACTCGCCAGTAGATACTCAGGTCTTCCAGGCCCAGGTCTCGTATATTTTTTGCACAGATGTTGGGAGGCCTGCAGGGAGACGTGTCGTTGTTACTCTTAGCCTGAGCCCAGAGTCTGCGTTTCTCTGACCAACGGGAGAGGCGGGTGAGATGTCTGGACATGCTCTTTGTTCTGCTGGGAGCTTTTCCTCTAATCAATAACTGAGAACCGAACGATGACAACAACACGCTCGGGCATCCAGCCAACTACATTACAGCTGCATAGGAAAAGCAGAATGTAAGAGGAGCACATGAGACCCAGTGGAGATGGGGACACAAAGGCCTCACTACAGCAGCAGCAGCAGCAGCATTAGCAGCATCAGCAGCAAGCACACCTCGCCAGCCTTGCCTGCGCTGGCAGAGCAACAGTGCCCCCTGCTGTTGAAAGCAGAGACCTGCATCCAGCAGAGCAAGGGGGGTTCAGAGTGGAGAAGAGGGAGGGAAGAGCCACTAGATGCTGAGGAGAAGTCATGGCACAACACATTCAGGCCTCGCAGCTCTTTGAAGGCAGATCAATAGCTAACCATTATCCTATTGTTGTTCCTCATCCAACCAGCACTGGTGAAGCCAGAGGAGGGGGATGGTTAGCCTGAATGCTGAAAATGCAGGGATTTTGCAAAGGCAGGGATTTATTTGGGCAATCCAAACGGAATACAAGAAAATTACACAAAGAGAGGAGGGGGAAAGTACAACAGAGTAAAATGTAACAGAAAGGCATCCTAAGTAAGACACATCAGTGGTGCAGTGGAGGTTTCATTTAGATTCGTTTTCAGAGGTTTTATGAAATCATTGATTTTCCATTCATTCATTTCATCTGCTTGCAGAAAAAAAAAAGAATTCAACAGATGTGATTTCTGTCAAACCTGGTTATTCCCACACAAGGGTTATCAGTAGCTAGCCCAAAGCTAAACACCACACTCAGCTGTTAAAATGCTACAACAATTAGTGCCAATGCTTACTGCCTTAATGCGAGTCAGAGAAAACGGTGCGATGGTTAACACACGGTTACAGTGCGCCCTGCAGGTGATGGGCGGTGTGTGCCATAGCGCCCAACAATCAGCTTTTAACTGAATGAAATTATACTTTTTTAGTAAAAGAAAAGAAAAAAACAAGAATCTGATTTTAAAGGCAAACAATAACCAAACCTCAAATGAGAAAGACACCAAACATACAGTGCAACACAAAATGTTTCCAACGCATAACTGGACACATTTTGAAGCAGAAGAAAATCTCTCATTCTATCTTTGGTTCTCTACCTCCTCTGTCCCTCTAACCCCATTTCCCCCTCCAACCCCTCGCCCCCTTCCTCTCTATATTGATGCGGGTATTTAATTAGTACCATAGACACAAAGTTTCTATTTCTTGTTACTATTGTGCTCTGTTGTGCATAAGTAAGGCACCTTGTTGATAAATCAAAAACAAAAAAAGGAAGGACTTTTTAAAAGGAAAAAAAAAAGAAGGATGCAAGGACTGAGGCCAACGAAGGACGTGGTTTTGTTTCTTTTTCTTTTTTGCATTCGGTGTGAATATAGACCTGCAGGACATTTACCACAAGAACGAGAAAAGACAAGAGAAACAGGGAGCTGCTGAAGAGAAGAATAAATGACAGACACTTTCTCTCCTTTGGCATTTCGTGTCGGAACTGTGGTACTCTCAGCCCCCCCGCCCCTTTAAAGCTGAGCCCTGAGGATGGGGTAAAATTAAGAGGGACAAAACATGACCTCCAAATGTCCTGGCTGACTCGCTATGTTTTATTGGAGGGTGGGGTGGTGGTGGCGCGGGGCGTTTACGCTTGGGACTCCGTAGTTATCTGTGTGGTCTTAAGATGCAACTGTAGCATTTCCAACAATGTAGTCAGATTAGCAGTGCAGATTAGATAAGAGGTGGTCATTGTAGAGGAGCTGATCAGGAGGTACTGACTAACTTCACGTTGCTGTAAGCAGTGAGTTAACGTCGCCAAAGGATGATGAGCTTAAATTGACTTGTGGTATACAGTTCAGTGAGCATAGATAAATAGCTAGATTCAGCTTTAGGAATGACACTGACAAAATGACGTTTGTAGTAGTGAGAACCAATGTGGCTACCTCACTAAGCTGAGTGGTTTGTGAAACCGCCACTAATACCAAAGATACTGCAGCCTACCAGTCACAAACTGCCTAGGGGGACACAAACCAAAAAAACGAGAGCCCCCCCTCTTTGCCCCAAACTGTTACAAACACACTGATGATATTACGCACACACACACGCACACACACACGTTCCTACTAACAGCGCAGTCAGACTGCATTGTGCCACATAGGAGGAGGTGGCTGCCTTGCAGACAGAGTTGAGTGCCTTTTCCCTTCAACCACGGGTGGGACTGCACTGGACACACACCCACACACCCACACACACACACAGATGCATGCATATAGAGGCATACCCACTTACAAGCGTGTGCTCACACAGACAATGCACCCATAATTGGATGGACAGAAAGGGGGGCCAAAGAGAGGGACACAGAGTGGGGGCTGTGTCAGCATTTTCTCCCATATTGACTTTCCATCTTGATACACTAGAATACAAGCACTTTATCATGTAGAAAGTCTATAAAACATTTTCTATACGCTATTTATTTGAAACAAAATTATATGTTACTCCTTAATCTGTCGGAGTCTTCGTTGCCGTATCGTCGATCTTCTGCTAGCTCTCAGCCTTCGTGTTTCTCTTTTGCTTTCCGCCCGGCCTGCTTACGCTCTCGGCCGCTTTACCTTCCTCACATCAGAGATATTTTTGTGTAACAGAGAAAGAGAAGGGTAAAGAGGCGGCGGCTGTAAGCACCCAGAGGGCTGTTGTTATAAAATCTTAAATGCCAAACGGCTTTCTTTCTCCCCACTGCGTGCAAGCACAGAGGCTGCACTGGAAAAAGTGTGGAAGACTCGCTGACAGTTTATAGACACACACTCTCTCCTCCCTCCCTCCACCTTGTCTGTCCAGTCAACTTTCCCCCTGGCTAGTGCTAGGACTTGGTAGGCGTGTGTTGACAATTAATTCTGAAATACCTCAAAAACCTTTCATGTAAACTTTATGTAATTTAAACTGAAAATAATACTGCTAATGATAACAATGATTATGAAAGTATGATACTATGATAGTTAGTTTTGGAACTTGTGACTTGAAGCTTTATACTGTTAAATTCCTTTTATTCGTTTGCTTATTTTTCTCGTACGTTCTCTCGTTTGTTTTTTGCTACGGCATGTACTTACTGTTTTCATAAAGGAAAAGACATTGTGAATGTTTCTGTGGAGGGTCACGCGAGAAAAGAAGAGACAGAAGAGAAGGCGAGAATAGAGGGAGACGAGCGAGAGCTGCTCGCTTCAGATGTTTAGTTCAAAGCGCTCTCACAGACGCCTACATTCAAAGAAACAACAAAAAAAAAAGAAAGAAAGAGAGAAAGAAATGACAAAAAATGTGATTTGGGTTGAATTATAAACCAAAAATTTGATGTTAAACCAAAGGAGGAATAACCTTATATCCATTGTTAGCTTTCTTCTGCCTTTCAGTTGTCTTTTCTCTGAAAAAACAAAAAGAAAAAAAAAAACAGTTTCACAGTTACTTCTGAAGGTTCCTGGGTGTGTTCAAGTGCTCCTGATGTTCTTAGAATATTAAAGACCAGCACCTCCTGTTGAAAAGAAGGTGCACTTTTTTTTTTTCTTTTGTGCATGGATATTGTATAACTGTATAGAAACCAACAGGAATGACCTGTGATTTTGTGGGGAGAGGAGGAGGATGGAAAGACTCGGGTGTGGGGGGAGAAGGGTGGGGGTAATAGTTTGGTTATCAAAAATAAACAAAACAGGGTGGGAGGATTTGGGTTTTAGGCGTTGGAGGGGTCTTTGTTTTAGAATTTCTGTCACTGTTGGATTCACTGGTTGTGTGCATGTGTTGTTGCAACCCTTCCCCTTTCCCCAATGTTTCTTTGATGTATATAAATCCAAACAGTAGGGGGCAGTGTGTGCTGGGGGAGGTCAAACTCCTCTCCTCCCAATCAATCGCATTCAATCTTCATTCCTCAGCTTGCGGTCCTCACTCGGGTCCTGAAACGTGTGTCTTGCTTTTCCAAAGACGGGCTGTTTACTTGGAGTTAATCACAGGGACACACTCAGACCTGAGCGGCCTTCCGATACCTGTACGTCTGTCTACATGCTTTCCTTCGGTCTGTGTACAATGTATATGTGTTCATTTGTACCAATGTGGAAGACTATTTCTATTTTCTGTTCCTTTGCTATGGGTTGCAATATTTGTCATGCAAAAATCTGAAACCATTTCTTACTGACCGACCAACCGCAGTACCACGTGGCAACCGATCATCCCGCCTGAAGTGTCGTCCGCATCTACTGTCAAACAGCATATTCGTGTCATTTCTCTGTGGGATTGAATAGGTTGCCGGTGGGACTGATGTAGACACCCCCAGTCACACTGTGCTCTCCCTCTTCTGTTACCTGTTAATCAATCAGAACCAAGTGTCTTTGTGATGGTAGAAGACAATCAGTTTCAAAACAAGAAAAAAGGTAGAGAGAGGGCAGGCCAGAGGAAGGGAAGGACGGAAGAACAAAATCACGCGGAAAAGAGGCTCTCTGAATCGTGACATGCTGTAGTGCCCGACTGCCAAACGACTGCCCCACCAGCCCCACTCACTCGTTCATCCTTCGTCCCATCTCGACCAGATCTCACAGCTCAAACCCCTCGAACCGACGATCGCATGACCAGTTCCCCGCCACCATTGTAGTCCGACGCAGCAGTGCAAAAAAAGAGCTGTGGTGCAAAGACCATGTTTCCCATCACCCACCACAATGTCCTGCTAATGTAATGACGATGTAACCAGCCGCGAGGAATTAAAAAATGGCTCCGGTTGGTGGCTTTTGCACAGAGAACTATGCAAACACCTGATCCCCCCAATCCTAATTGTTGCTGCTGGGTCAGAGTGTAACCCTCAACCCCCTCTCCCATCCATCCGCGACATTTAAACGCTCCCACTCATTTCGACCTTCACAGCCATTTACTTGCCCAATTAACCAATCCCATGAGCCCAGTGTGGGCGGAGTAACCCCAGTCACTCAGGTTATGGTGAGAGTGGCTGGGGACACAAGAGCACTACAGCATCCCATGTTTCACCACGCTGAGATCACTTAACTTTACACGAACGCCCCAAACTGCCACTGACATCAAAATGGAGTCCATGCTGATGTTTGCAAGCCGATCCACCACACTCATGGCTCCATCGTTCTACAATGTTCGACTGTCTTTGTCCCCAGCGCCAAGGAAGGGCCACAATCAATGCAAAGACACTTTCATTGTACCTACTTAAGTTTACAAAGTCGTCTGGAGATGGTGGCTTATATTGCACTCGGACAGACAGACAGACACACAAACAGACACAGGCACATGCTGGAGAGGGTGAGTCTGCCTTTTGAGAGTGTTTGCTGAAACCAAAGATGAAATCAGAGGTATGACAATCTGGCTGCCAAACCTAGAAGACAATGTTCAGCTCTACGGGTCCTGTGATTTCCCGGCCGTGTGGACATTCCACTTATTGCACTTAAACACACACACGAACACACGTGTACGTGCACATACCCCAGCGTAAACCCGTCACACATCTCCGCACCCACATAAACGAGGGACAAACCCACTCACGTCTATTCAGAAAGCCTTTTTTCCCCTCCTCCCACTGCAGAAGCCGGAGAGCCTGTGGAGGACTTTTAGTTTCATTCTAGTTGAGACTTTTGAGAAGGAGAATAATCTGAGTAATAACTGTTACAGAAAAATAAAAACTTAAAAGGATAATATGGGTAAATTGCGTGTTTTGAAATAAATTAACAAATAAAACAATTGTAAAACAAGGCTACGCTGTCAGTTTATTGTGTTTGGTTCGATCCTCAAAGGAAATCCGCTGTAACCTCAGCAGATGGAGATTTGATTTTTACCTCTGTTTGAACAGATCCAAAGTGCCAGTGCGAAGATAATAAACAAGATTTATGACGCATAATATATTTTGTACATTATATCATTAACTTCATTTCAAAATAGTATCTGTACAATAGTGTAACAGAACTGCCCACAGAACCATACGCGAAACACTGAAAGACACAGAAAAGTTTGCTGCAGGAGCAGACGATAGATGTTATCTGTTACAAAAACTTTTAATGCAGCTCTCCATTACGTATGTTTCACACAGTCAGTCGTTTTTCGCCTTTGAGACAGCGCGGTTATGACTTGCAGTCACTTTCTCATGTGTGTCGCTGAGGTGATGTGGCGTCCGGACCCAGCTCCCTGAGAGACGGCATAAGAGGAACGGCGGAGAGGCGTCCCCCTTCTGAAACGAGACCTCAGTTCCACTGACTGATGGGATACACTGTGGACCTGGGTCACAGAAGGGGAGAAACATATCAGCGACCGTTTACTTTATATAAGGTTTTTGGGGGTGTTTTTTGTTTCTTTTAACCCAAGACTAACAAGAAACTCAGTAAACTGAACCGGAGATGATGGCTGGGCATGTCAGCAGCAGCCACAACTGCAAGCATGATCTCCTTTCCGTCTCCAGTGTTTTCTTATCAAAGCTCCTTTTCCCTGGTCCTCTTTTCCCTCCTCTGTCTCTCACGCTCTCTCACCTCTGCTTTGGACTTGGGCACCAGCACAGAACCTGTAGGTAAGGTGTATCTGTGTCTCTGTGTTGTCCGGTTCCTGTCTTTTTCCTCAGGCGGCACACCTTGGGTGCATCGGCTAATCAGCATGCTGTACTTACAACCCCTTTGCCAACCCACTTCTCAACAGACTCTCTGTCAACCTCTGTGGTCTGAGGATCCCCTCGTGCTCCATGCAGCCTTTGTTGAATCCTGTCTCTGATGATTTTCTGATCATCGCTGCAACTGCTGCATTATTCAGTAATTCTTTGAACTTCGCTCTCTGGTCTAGTGTACTGCATCTGAGTCTGCCGGTTCTTTGAAAATAAGCTCACAATTAACTGCAGCACATGACTAGAAAACGATCAGATAATAATAGAGAAAGAATAACTTGAGATTGGTGGAGTTTTTACGAGCTGCTGCAGGTTGTTTGGCGTGGTATGCGCTGTGATTGTTAACTGTGAGGACAAAGTTTCTGTGTGTTTCCTGTCAAGAGCTGCTGTTTATGAGTCTACAGTTTTTCTCAGTTTTTATGGCCCTTTTTACACCTTCTCTCGTTTGACAGAGAGATGGCATAAACTGAGCAACCTGTGAGATATGGAGCATGACATTCAGTGACTCGAAACCTAAATGGACATACAATTGACATTTTTAGCTTTTCCTTTTGAGAAGTATTCCTTTTCAAAAAGATACACAAGTAGATCTTTTGTTCATACTCTCCCATGCACAAAAAGATCACCTTGTGTTTGTTGTGGACGTTGAGGATGACACTGAGGGCGTGAGCAGTCACTGAGGGCAAAACAGCTGTCCAGGCAACAAGCAGAGCTGTGAGCCACACAACTGGATCAGTGAAGGCGTAATCAGATGCACCTGATAAAAGGACAAACATAGAGCAACTATACCTTTAGGCAGAAATGGATAGAGAGCCACAATTTTCTAAAGACAAATTGAAATCAGCTCCTTGTTATTGCGTGTTTTCTTTTTTGATTTTTAGTCCAGCAATGGGATGTTATGTCACAGCTTAAAGCAAAAATCTCACAAGAGTGACAAAGAAATAATAATAGGCCTGTGCTGAATACCAAGAAATATATAGTCCTTGGGTGATTGCTCAAAAAGGAAGCGGTTGTGGGTGATCCTGGTACAGATGAAGAACAGCCCCACGGAGACAATTACAGTTGCTATGTTGAACTTGGTCCAGTGTCTGGTCAGCAGAATAATCTGAGACGTGGAAACACATTAAAGGATAAAAGTCCAACTGGATATACAGTACAGTGTTTATGTCAGAAAGGAGACCGAATAGTAAACATTTATATAATCATATAGTAAGTCTATACGAAATAACGGACCAGCAGATAGTTCAATTACTGTAAATAAAAATGAAATTATATAATTACGTTTTCTAAGGTTAGATCATTCCAATTTAGATCAGTGTTAGAAAAAAGTAATTAGAGCATTATATTATGTATTATATCAGAGCTGGTATAAAAATAATTACGTTCAGATCACCAGTGTTGGGCAAGTTACTTTGAAAAAGTAATTAATTATAGTTACTAGTTAATTCTTCAAAAAAGTAACTGAGTTAGTAACTGAGTTACAAGACTCTAAAAGTAATTAATTACTTGAAAAGTAATTATTGCATTACTTAAAAAAAAAAAGTTTCACTCTCTGGGGTCCAGGGTATAATTAGCCATTTTTACCTCTACATTTCACCTTTAAAAACGATTTACTTTGCCTTGTTTGGTATCATCCTTTTCAGCACAACCTCACATGCCTGAATTTACAGTCATGTTTTCATTTTGACATACCATATTAACACAATTGATCTAAAATCAGAGAAAAAAAACATAAAATCCAAGTAGAAAAAGTTACATTTGTTACTGTAATAACCACAAACATGTTTATTGAATCATATTTTATAACTTTAAATGCAAATATAAATTGTCAATTTTAAAATCATATGCACAAGTTTTGCAAACAACAAAGTTATTTGCAGCCATTTTCCTTTTACCCTTTTTTAAACAAACCATTTCAAACTATTTACAGAACAATCAGCTGTTCTACCTTCAATAAAATGCCGCACAAATTATTTGTGCCACTCCAAAAAAATAATTTCTG